TTTAGGAAATACAGGGTGGGCCATCTATTGGTACGTTTTTAAAAATGCGATCAAATGAGCATACATTGAAGTTAGGAAATACGTCGGATAGGTGACATCGGATGAATTAGGAAATACTATACAGCTGGGTATCCGATAAAAGTAAAATTACGTTTTACTGGCGACTGGAAAAATATTTAAAAAAATAATTGTCGATTAGATAAAACGAAATTAAATTTTTTCGATCGACTGTATCATTGATTTTGTGAATGTGAAAACAGTATATACTCGCACACAGCATGAAATATTTCAGAAATATTTCCAAAATGTTTCAATATAAGATTTGAAATATTTCAAACATTTTTTATTTCATCTTTCTGAAATGTAAATTTGTCCGGGAAATCTGAGTTTTTGAAATTTTTACTCTTTTTCTTACAATATATTTATACAATATTTTTGAAATATTTTATTGAAATATTTCAAAAAATAATTCACATAAATATTTCATACCGTGTGGATATATATATATATATATATATATATATATATATATATATATTTGTTATTTCAATAAGATGTAGGTATTTTTGTTTTAAATTATTTCATAAATATGTATATTATATCAGTTTGTCCTGTAATAAGAATTCCATTTCTTGACTTCTTTATTTTAGAATACTGTTAGAATGGTGAAGAGCAAATCACAAGAGAAAGTCCCAAAAGTAAGAAAGTCTAAGAGCAAGAGAATGCAATTCCCAATCAAGCCAATCAATCTTATGATCATTGTGAGTCTGGTAATTGCTATTTGGATCGGATACAAAGGATACCTCCAAACGAGAATTAATACTCCATATAATGGAAAAAAGGCATGTATAATCTATCATCAAATAATCCCACACAGCACACTTTATCTGATAGACATCGTGAAAATGTCCTTAGAATGTACTATATTCAACAACTTTTGAATGTCTTTAGGACGTTCTTGAAGGAAGTGCTGTTTGTGAAGGGAATATTACGTACTTTTAAGAGGCTTGTTCTTTTTCCATATCTCAGGATTGAACTTCTTACACGTTCATTTTTTCCCTTTTTTTTACATTGGATAGAAAAAGACAAAAGATGAACCATGCAAAAAGTTCAATCCTGGGATATGGAAAAGGAACAGGTCTAATATTTTGTAAATGTAAATTTTAGTGTTTATTTCTACCAACGTAGATTAACTTCAATCTTGGTTTAATTTACTACTTATTCTTTTCTAATTTTTTAATTTCTTCTAATTTTCTTAGAATTAGAGAAAGATGAAAAGTAAAATTAATTAAACCAAGATTAAATTTAATCTACATTGATAGAAACATAGATTTATTATAGATACAGAACTATCAATAATATGTAATACAGGATGTAAAATATCAAATAACGTTAAATAATAGTTTCCAAAACTGCAGGAGATATATATCTTATTGCGATGTCTTATTTATAAGAAAGTTTTTCAAAATTTAATTGCAGATTAGCTTTAGAGATATTAGCGATGTGATCTATTCTTATATACTCTCTGTACATATATAATCAAATATTTGTAGATTTGTAATTTTAATTTATAATCATTTCGAATATTTTTTTGAAAATTAGTTAGTTACTGGATATGGATTGGATTCTCTGGACAGGTATTGGGGTACTTATCGATCCGGAGTATATTTCGGTTTAAAAACAAGAGACCCGCATTCCTTGGTGACTGGTTTAATGTGGTATTTTCCACGGTTCTTACGTCATGACGGAACTGGATTTAGACACTGGTGCGAGCAAGGTGATGAACTAGACAGGTACTGTATAGTCAGAATCTCTTTCAGTTAGATAAAGAATACATCAATATAATTAATGAAAGTTTAAATGTTAGATATGCATGGCTAGAACACGACGGACGAACATTTGGAGTTCAGGAAATAGTAGATGATCTCGCAGTCATAAGAACAACATTCGTCAAAAAGCCTGGTGGATATCACGGTGGTGACTGGACCGCAAGAATTGCGGTATCAGCAAACAAAGAACAGGTTGACGAAGAGATGTCGTTGTTATTTTATACCGCTATCGAGGAAGATACGAGGGGTTGGATAAAGGCTAATCTAGGAGACTATAATCGCTTGACAGGAATAGAAGGAAATACATTCGGATTGGGATCTTTTATCATAAATGTGAATTTAATAAATGGCACTATAGAAGAGCATTCCTTTCTAGCGACGGTCGCTCCTGGTCTAAACATGTTGAAAGAAACGGTTTTCCAAAGTCTCCGCATCGCGACCCAGAAAGGATCCATGGAGAAACATGTAGTTTTAGCTGGTGAACAATTGCCTTTGCTTCCCGAAGGCAAGAAAAAGGATCCGAATTTCATTGTAACTCAAGTGACAGGAAAAATCCCTTTTGAGATCGAAATTAGTTATGAATCTGGCAGTTTCACCAATAGGATGGACGTTAAATTAACGGGAAACAATTATGACGAGGCTCTCAAGAATCACAGAGAACTGTTCTCAAAGAAATTTGAAAATGTTTTCAAGTTGAAGTCTAAGGGATACACGGACGACGAAGTGGCGTTTGCAAAGATGGCGTTCTCAAATCTTATAGGCTCGATAGGTTACTTTTATGGGGCTTCACAGGTGCAAAGTATCTATAATCAGGAACCTGTGCCTTATTGGAAAGCACCTTTGTATACTGCCGTACCAAGCAGAAGCTTTTTTCCAAGAGGTTTCCTGTGGGATGAAGGTTTTCACGGTTTATTGATTTCTGCCTGGGACGTGGAGATTGAAATAGATATTATAAAGCATTGGTTTGATCTGATGAACGTCGAGGGCTGGATACCAAGAGAAATGATTCTCGGCCAAGAAGCTGTGGCTAAAGTTCCCGAGGAGTTCATAACTCAGATCAACACAAATGCGAATCCACCTACATTTTTCTTGACGCTAGATTTTTTGCTTCAACATAAACAGCAGGAGTTACTGAAACATAATAACCAATTGCTTATCAAACTGTATCCACGGTTGCAGAAATGGTTCTCGTGGTTTAATACCACGCAAGTCGGCGAGTTACCCAGTACATACAGATGGCGAGGCAGAGAAGAAAAGACTACTGAAGAATTGAATCCTACAACGCTCACATCCGGCTTAGATGATTACCCCAGGGCTTCCCATCCGAGTGTCGCCGAGCGTCACGTTGATTTGCGTTGCTGGATCGCATTTGCTGCTCGCGTTATGGCTAGACTCGCCGAAACGTTGAGTTATTCTGCCATAAAGTATCAAGAAACATTTGAGTATCTATCCGACAATAACTTGTTGAACAATCTACATTGGTCGCCGAATGCGCAAGCATATTCCGATTACGGTTTGCACACTGACAAGGTGGTTCTACGGAAGATTGCGTTACAGCCATCTCGCAAGCAGCAATCTGCTCACATCCAAATGACACCAGAAATGAAACGCATCGTACTGGAAAATCCATCATTGAAGTTTGTCGATGCAACCTTTGGATATGTATCGTTATTTCCTTTTATTCTGCAGATTGTCGAGCCTGATTCGCCTCAACTGGGGAAGATACTGCAGGATCTACGAGATCCTGATTTGCTGTGGACTAAGTACGGACTGCGTTCGCTCGCGAAAACATCACCTTTATACATGAAATATAATACGGAACACGACGCGCCTTACTGGCGCGGTTCTATCTGGATAAATTTGAATTACTTGACAGTACGAGCAGCGTATCATTATTCAAACGTGACGGGACCATACCAGGAGAGCGCAAAAAGGTTATACCAAGAGTTACGAAAGAATTTGATACAGAATATTATTATGCAATATAGAAAAACTGGGTATTTATGGGAGCAGTACGATAGCACGGAAGGAAAAGGTAAAGGAAGTCACCCTTTCACTGGCTGGACTTCTTTGGTAGTACTACTTATGGCAGAAATATATTAAATGTCACGTTAATGTGTATAGTGTTACATTCCCGTTCAACTGTACCGAGCTCAACAATATATTGTAAAAAATTTAGGGGAAATAGGCACAGAGAAGCTATCAGCATCAGGGCTGTGTGGCAAAAATCTATCAATATGAAGGAGACCAGGACCCCTATTCTTGAAAAGTATTGCAAAATATTGAAAAGTATTACGAAAAACTAGGGAAATGCTATAGTATATGTAACGCATACTATAGTATTTCCCTAGTTTTTTGTATGCGATACTTTTCAATAATAGGGGCCCAGCCGGCTCAGGCCTTGGTTCGAATCCTGGAGCGCCCTGATATTTTTTTCGTGTTATCGCATATTTTTTACAATATTGACTTTAATCATTCAGAATTATTTCACAAAAGTGAAATCAAAAGACAGTGTTCATTCAGTTATCACATGGATTTATTGCTACTGAATAGCACTTTGCATTTAGGATGGAAAAAATTATATTATTTTTTTTGTTATTACGTTATGTGTGTATTGTTTTTGTCTTTTATATCATGTTATAGGAGAGTCATTGTATTGTCTGAAAGAAAAGTATTTGTATAAATGTCAAACTATGTGTATAGATATATGATATACTCGTATATGCCATTTACAGTAATCGGAAAGATATACAGGGTGTCTCAGAAATAAGGTCGGAGCCATATTGGGGGCATAGAATGGGTCAAGGGGAACAAAAAAGTCTGATACCATTTTGAGATATTCGCTGTAGTTTTCGGATTAAAAAAGGAAATGTCTAAGCCAATGTGCTGTGAAGCCGCGCCGCGCGAATTCGTAGAACGGTCCACACTCGACAGCGGCGGCGGTGGTGGCGATGCACAATGAGGTCGAATGAACTTTCGTGTTTCAAAAAGTCTCGAAATTTGAACCGATTTCGATGATTTTTTTTTTAAATGAGAACTAACGAATATCTCAAAATGGTATCAGACTTTTTTGTTCCTCTTGACCCATTCTACTCCCCCAATGTGGCTCCGACCTAATTTTTGAGACACCCTGTATATAATATATGTATGTTATTCTTTGATATCTTGATGGCCTGATATTCTTGATAATTAAGTCTGAATTCTAGATAATTGTATCTCATCTAATAAAAGCGCTACTTATAATGTTTTTATAAACATTAAGTACTAAATAAAATAAAATTTTAATATTATATAATATATAATCATAAGTTTTGTATTACTGACATATATACATACTTTTTGGCACAGTGATTTATTGGAACGTTCTATATTCTTATTGAAAATATATTTTAGATGTATTTTAGATGAAGCAAATTATTTATTCTCACACTTGAGTAAATTCGAGTTTTATTTTGTTAATATCATGAATTCTGTATATATAACATGTATGTTTTGTAAAATAATATAATATATGTATGTGTGTATATGTGTGTGTGGGGGGGAATAATAATACTGTATAATTATCAAGAGAAAAGAAGCTAGATTAAATTTTGGCTGTGATTTACCATGAAAACTGGTATATTTTAATCTTAAGCTCTTTTTGAGGAAGCGCTATATTTTATCAGTGTAACATGATGGGCCTTCTACAATAAGCCATTAGTCATAAATCAGAAGTCAGAAGCTATAAATTGACCAATCACAGTCGTCAATTTTTAGCTTCTGACTTTTAATTTATGACTAATGGCTTATTGTAAAAGGCCCATAACTCTGAGCATGACACTTATTTTTGTGTAAAAAGGTCTTGCTAATCTAGCCATCATTTTCTAAATAATTTTCGAAATAAAAGTTTAATCTGTATATGTGTACAATAATAAAATGGTATTTACATATTGAGATGAAGAATGAATGTATCTCTTCTTTCGCGCTTATATCGAACTTCAGCTTTATATTTTTAGAAATTAATTTTGTCATTTAATGTAATGAAAGTAATTTATGTCATGAACTAATTATACATATAATCTTGAGTTTCATTCATTTATCTTAAAAAGAGCCTAATAATTCTTGGGCCTTCTACAATAAGCCATTATAGGCCTTCTACAATAAGCCGCAAGTCAAAACATCAGAAGTCTTAACCAGTCTTAACCAAGTCGTTTAAGTTGGCTATTGGCCAACTTCACCGATTATGACTTAAGATCGCTTAGAACTTCTGACTTGCGACTTATTGTAGAAGGCCTATAATGCATGTTTCATGTTATTCAGTTTGTATAAACAGATTTAAATAGCTTAAATTTTGAAAGTTATTTTTTCTCTCTCTTAATAAATCGATTTTATATTTCTAAATATTCAGAAAATATAGATGATAAAGAAACCTTATTCTTTTTTAATTTTAGAAAAGACAACATAAATGATTTAAAAAAAATCTTGTTTTAAGAAGAAACAATGATCATGTGTATTGTTTTTTCTAAAATCTTTTAAACTTTTAATTTTTTTAGAAAAAGACAAAAATCTAATTCAGAACTGGGGGGTTTTTTCTTTTTACCGAGGAATTTTTTTGAGGTACAAGAAGTTTAGAAGAATTTTTGGGGTACTTTTTGGAAGGAAAATACAAAGAAATGTCTAAATTATGACTATAAGGTATTGAAAAAATTGCAATTTATGGAAATAACTTTTGAATAGACCTGGCAGCACTTGGTTGCGTTCAGCTGTTTCAGTTTCCAGCAGAACGTTTATTGTTTATTGTTATTAATATTTTGCAACTGTTGGAAGTTCTTCGCGCTGATTATGGATTATACTTTTAAATCTAAAGGAATAATTCTACTTCAGCGAAGAGAGAAAACTTCCAACAACAAAAAAAATCATTCTGCTGGGTATCAATCGTGAAACTTATCTCTAGAATGGAAAGTGAACAGTGAAAATTTTAACCATTGAAGTTAATGGAGAAATTTTTCACTTTTCACTTTTCATCCTAGGAAAAAAGTTTCATGATTGATACCCTGAACGCGACCATTCATCTTTTCTCATTGAAAAATGCTGAAAAAGCAGACCAACAGTTGGTACTCTTGCTTGCGATACATTTCGAGAAACGATTCTCGTATCGTATCGCAGGATCGCTGTCATCGTTGATGACTCCCTTCAGAGTTCGGATTGTTCAGACGCCTCGCTAGAAGGATAGGTGTGTGCCTGTTGGGGTTACGATCGTGAGTTGTGGATTTTTGATCGAAATAAAGTCGCGTAGACATTCCAATTGCATATTATGGAGCCGTACGATGTGATCGTCAATCAGCCGGTGGTTATCGATAACGTAAGTGCCTGCTATCCAGCTCCTCTCCCATTTAGAAAGCGAGCGATGCGTCAAACTTCAATGTCGGTTGTCAACGTTTTATCAGGATGTATAATTTAAAAGAACAAATGTTTTTCTTCGCATTCGCATTAGCGTTTACGTCTACATTTTTATTTATATATTTTGATTCTTGTTCGCAAACGAATACATCGTCAAAAATTATATCGTCGGCCGTCTGGTCGATAATAATGACGATGATGATGTTGATGTGATAAGTAATTCTTTCCTCGGTTTAGAATCGGCAGCGTTGTCATTACATCTGATTTTTTTCTATTTAGGGATCTGGCGTGATTAAGGCGGGGTTTGCAGGTGACCAGATACCTAAATGCAGATTTCCAAATTAGTAAGTAGCAGGGAGAGCTATTAATATTCGTGACAGTGTCTTCTGTTTTTGAAGGTTGTTGATAGGTGACAATATTTTGATAGGTTTATCTAATTTGAGCTTTGGAGCCAAAATGCAAAGAAAATTATTGATGCAAAAAATTCAATGTACGATTTCATGGACTGATAAGTATTGCTCAGATGTGTATCTGTAGTTACATTTACACCGTGTGCTTAGTCTGCGACCTATATAATAGATGTCTTTGTTTAATCTACAGGATAAACAAGAACACCTATTGTATAGACTGCGACCTAAATGCATGATGTAAACGTAGACAATATTTTACAGTTTTCAAAATCTTATCTATATTGATTTTTTTTGCATTGATGGTTATGCATTTTGGCTCCGGAGCTCAAAATAGATTAGGCCTGCCCTAAATGATTTAGCTGAGTTTAAAAATTGCTTTTTTATTTTATTATTTTTTAATGTATCTGTTGCATAGCTAATATATCAATATAACATCATAGATAACATAACAATATAATATAACATATCATAGTTAATAATATCATAGATAACATATCAAGATAACATAACAAAATATTGTATGACATGAGATTTTTTAAATAAATTAAAATTTTTAGTTTATATATTGGTGTGCAATATTGACATTATATTGATTAATAAAAAAAATTAATACATGATTCTTATTTTTAGCATTGGGAGGCCAAAACATGTACGTGTTATGGCTGGTGCTTTGGAGGGAGATCTGTTTGTGGGTCCAATAGCAGAGGAACATCGTGGCCTTCTATCTCTTCGGTATCCAATGGAACATGGTGTGGTCACAGATTGGAACGACATGGAGCGTATCTGGTCTTATGTTTATAGTAAAGACCAGTTAGCTACGTTTAGTGAAGAACATCCAGTCTTGCTTACAGAAGCACCTTTAAACCCCAGGAAGAATCGTGAGAAGGCAGCCGAGATATTTTTCGAAACGTTTAATGTTCCAGCTTTATTTGTTTCCATGCAAGCTGTACTTAGCTTGTGAGTAATTTTGTAATAATCAGTGTTAAAATGATTTACAACTTTTGACTTCTAAAATAAAAATTTTGAAATATTGTTTTTAATTAAAAGATTGTATGACAATTTTTTTTTGTTTTTTATTAATATAGATACGCAACAGGCAGAACCACAGGAGTAGTTCTAGATGCTGGCGATGGTGTTACGCATGCTGTACCTATTTATGAAGGTTTTGCTATGCCTCACAGTATAATGCGAGTTGATATAGCAGGGCGTGATGTTACAAGGCATCTTAGGTTACTTTTACGCAAGGAAGGTATTAATTTCAAGACCACTGCAGAATTTGAAATTGTCAGAATAATTAAAGAGCGAGCATGTTACCTCGCCAGCAATCCCCAAAAAGAAGAAACAATAGAGACCGAGAAGTTTCAGTATGTTTTACCTGACGGCAGTCACTTGGAGGTAATAAAATAACATGAATTAGTAATAATTAACAAAAGTATTATGCCCGTTTCCATCAATGTAGATTA